TACAAAAATATAAAAATTTTTAAAAAATGATGTGGCTAAAGGGATGGCTCACCAGTTAACTCAGCACCAATGTCTGGAGGATCACAGTCACACGTAACTCCAGCTCTAGGGTATATGTCCTACTCTTTTGGCTCCCAGAACACAGGTGGCTTACTGAAAGTCATACTCACTTGTGCATAAATAAAGCCTCAAAAACTGACTGAACCTGAAGGGAACATCAGTAAATTGCTAGAATCTTATGTACTTTGTGTTAAATATATAGATATATTTGAAGAGACTTTACATAGTAAAATAAGTGACACTTTAACATAGATATGTTTATTTGTGTGTACATGCATCTGAGTCTTTGATTTCTCCTTGCTATGTAATTTAGCTTTTACTTTATTTTATTTTTTATATCAATATTATTTTAAATTGTATTTTAAGCTACTTTTAATCTTTATCATGTTTTATAAGATACTGGAGTTTTTTCTATGAATCTGCATTTGTAATCATGATAAATTCACTCATTTGTTTGTTTTGTGATGCACTGCATATGTCTTTGCATCTTGTATGGAACTAGTCTTCTGCAAATAAAGGACGTTTTACTATTTATAATTCTTTTTCCTACCCTTGTCCTGGCTGCATCTGCCCATACAATGTTGTACAGAAGGAGTTGGAGCAAGCATGCTCAAATTTCCTCATCTCACAGGGAGAACAGTCATCTTCAAAACTAAGTATGATGTAGCTATGGTCTTTTGTGTGGGTATCATATATAAAGTTTAAGAATGTCCTTTATATTTTTGTATTGTCCATTAGTGGTGTGGTGCTTATCAAATTCTGCAATTTTTTTTTTTCTAAATGCCTTGTTATGTTCATATTATATGATGAAACACATCGGTTGTTGGGGATACAGCCACACGTAACTCCCTGAGAAAAGCTTATACAATCATAAAGTGGTGTTGTTTAATAAAGTACTAAGTTTGAAATTTAGTTAATGATTTTCACACAAATTCCCTAAAAATGCTCATTTTTTCCCTCTTTTTTCCTTCCTATAGTCTTTCTTTTTTCTTTGGTGGCATATATCTATGTGGGAGGGAGAAGGTACTTACACAAGTCAGAGCACAAACTTCCTGTCCCTCAGATACAGTCCACTTTTTTGGGTGATATTTTTGTTTGAGACAGAGCCTCTCACAGGGCTGGAACTTACCAAGCAGGTTAGGCAGGCTGGCTAGTGAACTCCAGGAATCCTCTTGTCTCTACCTCCCAAGCACTGAGATTACAAGTGTGTGCCAACATGCCCTTCAACTCTTGTGTGAGTTCTGGTGATTGAATTTAGGAACTTGTACTCAAAAGACAAGCACTTTACTGAGTTTTTCCCCAGCCCAGACATTGTATCTCATATTGTGCCTGGAAATTGGAATATATGTAATAGATGGCACAGGATTTTACTTTTGTTTCTTAGACAAGTTCTCATTACTTATCCTTTGTTGGATTTAGATTCATAGCTCAGGCTAACCCACAACCTGAGATTCTCCTACCTCTGTTTTCTTAGTGTGCTGGGATTAAAGGTCTGGCTGGACCTTTTCTTCATTGAAAATAAATGAATTTTCAAAAGAGGGAAGGTACATGTGTATGTGTAACAGCTGCCGTAAAAATCCTCCCATTTGAAAGGTAAAGGCTTTTCAGTGTGGCTACAGAGAAACATTAAGAAGATATATATTATTTAAATGTGTATTTTTATTTTTACTTATATGTAAATGTCCTTGTGTGTTTATGCACATATGCATATATGGCCCAGGAGACCAGAAGAGGGCATCAGATCCTAGGAAGCTGGAGCTACAAGTGGTTGTGAATCACTTCACATGGGTACTGGGAACTGAACTCAGGTTCTCTGGAAAAGCCACAAATGCCATCCACTGAGCCATCACCCAGACCTTTTGTTCCCTCCTGATGAAATAAATTTCTTCATTCTGCAAACAGTGAGCATTGAAATGATGACATACTATTACAACCATTTCTTTTTCTGCTTTACCCATTTGGCTGTGACCTTTATGTATGATGCCGCTCACTTCAAATTTATTCTTTGCAAATGATGCCTTTCTCAGTAATATGAATCTAGTAGATCGGATTTTTCATAGAAGTTTCTGTCCTTCATGAAACCTACACAGCCTTTTATTATTTAAATTCTAGCAAACTTTCAAAGAAACCATCACAAACATTCTATAACAAATGTTTAAAAATGTGAATTTGTAAAAATTTTTAAATTGTTTTCATTTATTTAGTGTGTGTGTGTGTGTGTGTGTGTGTGTGTGTGTGTATTTGTTTATGTGAGTCAAGGCTCATGCATGCCAAAGCAGGCATGTGGAGATCAGAGGACAACTGGCAGGAGTCAGTACTCTCCTACTATGTGGGCTTCAGGGGCTAAAGTCGTGTTGTCTGACTTGTTGGCAGCTACCTTTTCCCACTTACAAGCATGCATTCTTCAGCCCTGTATATTCCATCAACAATTGTGATTTGTAATATAAGCACTTTCATAAGAGTGCACTAAATTGCTGTATATAAAACAATCACTTTTTCATGTAGAAGCCTACATCATTTGATATGCAGTTAACACAAAATGACATGATGGCAGATTTAAGTTTTTATCTTCATATTTCTAAACATAGATTATTATATTTAAAGTTTGTCTCATAAGTGCCAGAGACATAGCTCAGTGGTTCAGTGTGTGGAGGTGGTCTTGCAAAGGTTTGGGGTTCAGTTCCCAGCACCCATGTAGGGTAGGCCTATAACTCCAGCTCAAAAGGATCCAATACTCTCTCTGGCCTTTCTAGGCAACTGCACTCACATGCACAAACCCACAGAAAAACACACACTCATGTACACATAATTAAAATAAAACCTCATAAAAGTTTGTTTATTGTACTAAAATTAATAAGTAAATAAGCATCTAGTTCTAAGTACATCTATTTCCAAATGTGTCTAGTGGGATTAACATGTGAGTAATAATCTAGCAATTTCTTATAACTTATAAATTATCAATGTGAAGAACCAAATTATATGTAAACTAATCATATCACTATAAGAGCAGTTGGAATTTTTCTCTATTTAATCAAATGGAATTAATTTACTTATGAAATAAATATCTTTCCACGACTATAGAGAACTAAGTAGTAGCTAAAAGAAAATATAAGCAAGATTTAAACCATTTTCAAATTAGTATGGGCACATGATAAATTAGAACCAATTCAGAAAACATGGTTAATAAACACATTTTTTTTTTTTTTTGGTCAAGTGATTTAAAGACATATGCTAAGCATGGAACTTAGAAGGAAAGAGGAAAGAAAACCAAAGAAAATGAAAAGCAGAAAGAAGGGAGAAAAGTTTAAAAGGGGTGAGGAAGAGAGGGAGGGCAGAGAAAAGAAGAAGGAAAATAGACTGGGAGAAACAGTTAAGGTCAAAACTACAAACCTGCAAAAACCTAGAGAAGGAACAGATAGGGGTGTAAAGGAAGGAAGCAGACTTGCATCTCCACAGTTGGTCTAACAAATGCTTGGATGAGTTGAATCCCCAGAGTTACACATTCATGATACCCAGACTACCGAAACTGGTGGATTTAAAATTTTTATTTATTGTTATTTTATGTGTGTATGTGTTTTGCCTTCTTGTATGTAAGTGTATCAGTTATGCAATGCTCACAAAGGCCAGATGAAAGAGTCAGATCCCATGAAACTGGAGTTATAGATGTGTGTTAGCATCCCACCATTCTGGGAATTGTAGCTGGAGCCTCTGCAAGAGCAGCCAGTGCTCTTAACCATTGAGCCATCTCTCCAGGCTCAGAACCTGGTCCTTAAAGGACAGCTCCTAGGACGGAATGCTGTGACTACTTCATCAGTGGGAGACACCAGAGAGGAAGTCCCATTCTCTTCTCTTGATATGTGATATACTGTGTACCTTAGAAATTGACAGCAAAAATATATCCCCTAAGGGTCGATCACCTGACTTTGGACTGAAAAACTTCCCAACCTTTAGTTGGCCACAGATCTCTCATAATACTGAAGACTGGGTGAATACAGACATCAGTGGAGCAAAATGAAGCTTGAAATGCTGTGTACAATTTTATATATTTATGTCACATCTTAAGTCAATGAATATTTTAATGAAAGATTTCTTCTTTTTCACAGAGTATATGTTGATTATAGAGTATTTGGAAAATATCACAATAGAATAAAGAACCAAAAAAATCACCTTGAAGGCATCCAGGCAAATGTAAGAACTCTTAGGATTTGCAACAATTAGCCACTTGTGTTTTTGTTCTTTTTTGTTGTTGTTTGCTTGCTTTTTTTATTTTGAGAGAGTTTCATGTAGCCAAGGCCAAACCTAAACTTACTATGTAGCCACCAATGACTTTGAACTCATGATCCTCATGCCTCCACCTCCCATATTCTGGATTTATAAGCATGTGCTGCAAGCCCTGTTTCTGTGGTACTAGTGATTGGACCCAAGGCTTCTTGCATGATAGCCCAACAGTCTACCAACTGAGCTACATCCTTAGCCAATTCTTGCATTTTTCTCTTTTACTATTATCAATATCTTTGTTGTATAAGTCTATCTTATAATTATTTTCTCAGTTTTAATTGTCAAAAAGGAAAAGATATAAAAGACTGAAAACCAGTGATTTTGCCATTTTTCTCAAATGTTTACTACCATTTATATTTCTATCAGAAAGTCTCTCTATATAGTTATCATTAGAGTAAAAATTTTGTTATTAATTTGTCAGAGAAAATATTAAGATGATTTTTTGCTCAGTATTTCTTTGATAATCAAGGAGCTAATAGGTTTTCCATGTTGATTAAATATTCTAATTTTTCTTTTCCCAGTTTTGTCCTTCTGCCCAATTTTACTTCAGTGGCACAGAAAATAGTTATGTGTGCCTCATTAGAACCCTTACTTCCACTAACCCACGAAAATGCACTCATCACTAAATGAAAATTTTGTCCCCCTAAATAATTGTCCTTTGAAAGAAAAACAAGCACTTGATCATTGTTCACACAGACAATATAAAAAATGTCTTTCTTGATCATGAGAAAATCAGAGTTGACATCTCAGTGAGAATGTCATGAACAGTTTAAAACTTGGCAGCAGAAATGTTTCCTCATTTTCAGCAATGCTATAAAAGCATTGCTTTGTAACAGTGCATAAAATTAAGGTCATCTTTCATCAGGAATTTTCTTTGAATCATTCTTTGACAAAGATAGAATATGCTATGTGAAACAAATAGTTGTCAATGATCACATCTCATTTATCATAAATACATCTCCCATTTCTACAAAAAAACTACACCTCAGATATATTAACTATTTTGTTCCTGTTCCCACAAAAAAGAAATATGTGATGTCCAGGCTTGGTGGTGTACACCTTTAACTTCAGCTCTCGGCTGGCAGAGTCAGGCATATGTTAGTGAGTTTCAGGCCAGTGAGGAATGCACAATGAGACCCTGTGTCAAACAACAAACAAATGTAAGTGAACTAATTATTTCATGCAATAAATTTTATGTTTAGGAAATGAAATTTAACCTGTTTTGTCAGCTATACTGCAGTTGTTATCACTACTTTCACTGTTAACAGTAAACAAATTTAATGTCTTACCACATATCCTTAAGATATGTATTGAAGACAGGATCCAAAGGAGGGACTAGAAACCAAAATAGATGTCCAACCATCGTCCAGTCATATCATACCAGAAAACAACAGGAATTCTGAATTCATCTTTGTATGGAATGGAGATAAATCTCTGTACAGTAGGATTTGAGGAGCATTCATTGTGTTTCTTTTCTGAGAATGACATGTATCTTCCAAATTTACACATTTATATCTACAACTTCTATGAATCAATGCACCAAATGATCGCTAATTCAAAATGTGGATGTGACTCAAGATAAAAATATACTATCATTGCAGTGATTACAAACCCTGTTTTAGGCTCAGAATACCTCATTTGATTTCTGGCTATATTATTTATTAATATGATTCTGAAGCAAAGTCTCTTAATCTCTCTGTGACTCCATATATTATCCGCAAATGGAAACAATATTTTATCTCAAGGATGCTCTCTGACTTAAATGATTCAATCAGTACAATTAGATTATGATTATACATTTTATGATGCTAGAGAGAAGGCTCAGCAGTTAAGAACATGTACTACTCTTGCATAGGACTTGAGTTCGGTTTTCAGCACCCATGTCCAGCAGCTCACAATTGCCTGAAACTCCTGCTCCAAGGGATCTGATGCCCTCTGCTGGCTCCCTCAGGCACCTGCACTCATGTGACAGTTACTCACAAAGTAAAAATAATAATAAATTCAAAGATGATAGATTCTATCTTATGATAAACCATTAGAGCATAAGAACACTGATCATGCAAATCTTTAAATGCAAAAAATAAAAGAAAGAAGCAAAATTTGGAAGGAAGGGATGAGAAAGGAAGCAGAAAGCAACATGGAAATCCATCCGTCTGATCAGCTCAAACATATGCTTACTAATTCACTCTATTGTAAGTTCTTAAACACCTGACCAATTAGAGCAATAGCTTCTGTCACATTAATTGATAATGCAGGTGCTTCATCAAAACAAAAACTCATTAAATATATAAATGAACAGACAGGAATATATGTATATATAAAACACGTGATCTGCACATTCAGAACAAATAACATACAAAGCACATAAAAGAATGTTTTCCATCATACTCCAAATATCCGAGTATAATATTCCCTTATCCAATAAATTAAAACAGGTGTTTTTTTTTTTTTTCCACCCCATACACAGGGTACTTACCACCCTCCATCCCTGAGACAAATGACCAAATATATTTTCAACAAGAGATATATTTATGACTAGGAAATGTGATACTATCTACAGGACACATTGTGCTGACCCTCAAGATCCTATGCAAGCTGTGACAGGACTCAACTACTTGTTTTGCTGTTTACTTACATACATGAGGTCAGTTGAAAGTGTCTACAAAGAATTTCTCATTCTAGGGCTTCCTTTGAAGAAGGTTCTAGAGAGTATGATATCAGCATAAAAATAATGCCTATAAACAAAGCCAAGCATCAATATTCAAAGCTGTCTTCTATAGTACTTACTTGCTGGATTGTCTGTGTTATGGAGACTGACCATTGGGACCCTTGGACCTGGAATTTTAAAAAAATATAAAAATATCTTAAAAGATATTTAAGAGGGATGGAGAGATGGCTGAGTGGGTAAACATCATTGCTGCCAAGCTTGGAGACCTGAGTTCTATTTCCAAGACTCTCAGGGTAGAAGGAGAGAACTGACAACAAGTTGCCATCTGACTGTACATGTGTCTCGGCATGCAAACACACATGCACACACACTCACACATACACACAAATATCCACACACAATCACACATAGAAACACACACACCATCACACATAAACAGAGATACCCACACCCACACATACACACATGCTCACACACGCATACACACACATGCTCACATACATACATACACACACACAAATAAATAAATGCGATAACAAAAAGACATCTAAGAATGCTTGTTGGGAAGGCTACCTGCCAGAGTTTCTTTTTCCAACTGTAATAATTTCATGTTTAAAACATAATGAAACACTAGAATTTCTTTTTATTTATGACTATTTTCCCTCAAATATTCAAAAATATAATAAAGGAACAAGTTTTGGAGATTTTTCAAGATTTCCTTACCCAAGTGACATTTATCTCTGTGCTTCCCTTGCAAGGTGCCATTGTTTTCTCTGTCTAGTCTTTATAGACATCACAGAGGTTTAGAAAGCCAATTCATGACACTTTCAGCACTTATCTCATGACCCAATAGAAAACTCAATTACTACTTAGTGAAGAAAGAAGTAATTTATATGTATTTGAAATATTCACTCACAAAATACACGAAATAAAATTTGGGCCAAACTGTATATCAACTTAATGAGAATTTTCAAATATTTACTGTGTACCAATTAAATTGTATCCCATGATGGTATCGTAAATGTTGACTTTTTTTTTTCCTGCCCTCATCTCCCTTTAAATGTTGACTTTCTTAAGAGACTTACACTACAAATTAAAAGTAAGTACTTACTTTCATTTTATGATTACCTAATTCCAGATATCAAAAGGAAGAAAACTAAAAGAGCCAGTGTTGGTATATTTTGCATTATATCTCAGAAAGTGGCAGCTTAAGGCACAGGAGGATGCAGGGACAAGCCATTAATCACTGTACAAAAGGATGCATGAGTTTAATTTTGTCTCTGGGAAATACTGTGTTTAGGGAAAAGTGATTCTTTTGAATACATCCTGGAAAGACTTCTATAAATACATCATGTAAGACTACTGCTCTGCTACAAGACAGAGACAATAAGGGGTGAAAGGCATTGCTCAGTGCTAATGAGACAGGAGCAGAGGAAATCAATTTGCATAAATTTTAAATCTCCATGTGTGCATGGTTCTGGGTATTTGTGTGTGTGTGTGTGTGTGTGTGTGTGTGTGTGTGTGTGTGTGTGTGTGTGGGGGGGGGGGCTGTGGGTGTGTTTTTCTAAAAT